TATTGCGTTAATTATTGTTATTATCTGTACATATTCCTAATATACTATCTTTTTCAACGAGTGTCTCGTTATTTATTAAGATACAAAGTTGTAAATTTCTGACAACTGTTTCGATCAATGGTTTAACATTTTTACATTGATAAAAGTACTTTATTTAAAATCTTTCGATTGTTTTTTTTTTCTAATCTGCAATATAAAAAAAAAGGTACACAGTCATCTGCCTCGATGTGTTCTTAACAACTTCTTAATATGTAAATTTAATGTACATTTATAACAAAACGAAACAACGAAATTAATTATAACTGTCAAACACTTGATTGTCCGTCTTCGAAAAAATCTTGTAACATGCCAAGAATATGACAGTTGTTTACCATTTGTTCCATTCGTTCGTTGATAACGTTTGCTTTGTCAGTTTTTATGGACTTTCCTTTTTTTGAATACATTGTTTATGTTATCGCATTTTTGAAGGCAATTGATCCTATTTCATCTTATAGTTTAAACAGTCACAGCCATGAACCTAAAACATGTGATTAGGGTAGTGCTGCGGTTGGTGCGGTAGGTTATCAGAACTGTTTTTATTTTTTTCCTTTTTTTTTTTTTTATCCCACCTGTATTATGCGTCTCAATACTTGTTTTTCATCGAAAGATCAGATAATGTTTCATGTTTTTCACAGCAACCAATTAACGTTATAATTCTTACATAAACAAATGTTGTCATCGCATAACATTCTAGATCAATCATAGGATCCGACTCTTGCTATATATATACTATTACCTTTTGATAAAGACATTTTGTAAAGATGTTAATGATTTTAATGTTAAGTTGAAAGGAAAAGTCTGAATAAGAGTTTTTTTTTGTAAATGCAGACGCCAAGGTGTTTTGGACATTTTTCAATGAAAAAGAGTGCAAATACGTTACATTTATTATATAACTCACATTGTTTACGCTAGTAAAATTTGAAAAATTCCATTTTGTTTGCTGTCAGTTATGAAATGTTCAGCGTTACTGCTTGGTCAAGCTGTTTAGAAGTGTTTTACTTGACCATATACGTCGCAAGTTTAAAAATTGTATATGTGAGATTATTGATTCAAATACTGTCAAAAGCAGAATCTCTAAGATTGTTTCATTTAAATAGAATTGTGATGATAACATTCTAAGCCGGATGTATATAGACAAATCAATACCCAAATTAAAACAAAAGCTAACTTTGTGAAATAAGACTTATCATAAAACATGAACATGACATTGGCAACACGTATGGTGATATATGCAGAACAGGATCTGTTCCTATAATCTTAATTCCCATTGTGCATTTGTGCTTTGCAGTAGGCTGAGCCAAACACTAAATTGCCATGGTGATAGCTTGTTAATAATGTAGGTTCAGGAGACATGGGATTTTTCCCTCCTTTCATTTGTTTGAGAGTGACAATGGCACATTTTGATATTACTTATTAGCAACAATTGGTCTTTCAAAAACTTTCTAATTTATCTTTTGAGAACATCAAAGCATTCTTAAAGCTTGTAAAATAGTGTTTAATTGACATACAGTAAATGTTTTGTAATTATTGTGATGTACATTAAACGTAAACCAGATTTTACGCTATTTATAGGTTATTAAATAGGATTTTGAACTGACAAATTGCAGTCATTATGTTTATTGATAGTAGAAACACGGCAATTTTCTACTCATTAAACACCCTTTAAGATAATGATATAAGTTGTGTCAAAGATTATATATCGACGTGCTCATGAACGAAATATAAGCCACTTGACATTAAAAAGCCAACAAACAAATAATAAATCAATTCATTATTACATGCATGGATCATGCGTTATTTAACAGTTATTTTAACCGCAATTTGAAAACCGACTGCGACGGAAAAGCATATGCAACTTCGTAGTAAATAGTTTTGTTGTCCTTCAAATTATTCACAATATTTAAACACTCAAGGTGTACATGAACAATGGAAATGACTTTATTTTTACTTTTACTTTGTATGGATACTTTATAAGGTATATTTAGTTTTTAATGCGTCAAATACACTTCTATATCGTAGTAAGGCAAATGTCCCCTTAAACAATATATCTGTTTACGTTCTAAATATTGTTTCTACATACAATCAAATCATTGTTAGTTGTACAAGATTCAATCTCATTTCTTTAGGTATTTCCCGTTTGTTTGACATACCTTTATTGTGAGTCCTGAGTTGAATACTGGAGCTAAATAATATAGTTATACTATATTAAGTACTTATGATTTAGATTACAATGTATAAAATTGAAAATGAAAGTGGGAAATATGTCAAAGAGACAACAACCCGACCAAAGAGCGGACAACAGCTGAAGGCCACCAATTGGTCTTCAATGCAGCGAGAAAATCCCGCACCCAGAGGTGGTCCTCAGCTGGCCCCTAAATAAAATTGTGTACTAGTTCAGTGGAAATGGACTTCACACTAAACTCAAAAACCCAAAACATATAAATGCACTAAAATAAAAAAAAAACATACAAGACTAACAAAGGCCAGAGGCTCCTGACTTCGGACAGGCGCAAAAAATGCGGCGGGGTTATAACATGTTTGTGAGATCTCAACCCCCCCCCCCCCCTACTACCTCCCCCCCCCCCCCCCATACTTCTAGCTTATGTATGTTTAAGTTCTTGAAATATTGTGCCCTGTACATAATGCCTGTTTAAACTAAGTACTGACCCCTAGATATTTGACCTTGTTTACGCCGTTTGAATATTGTCCAAAATGAAATAGGCCTTTACAATTTTATACCTAACTTCTTTTTTTTTATCAATATCTGTATATTTGACTAAAAATATTTGAGTATATTTTTTTTCAATCCTACTTTAACATTATATTTTAACCCAAAATATCCGACGTGCAGCGTTTATATATTTAAGGTGATACATTCAGATTTGTTTTGATCATTTTAATCGCATGAAACAACTGTAGCGATGCGTTAATTTTGTAATTTTACTTTTTAGTAATAAAATGAAACCCTGTATCTAATCATAAAATCGTCCCGGGAGTTTCAAATGAACATAACTTACAAACTGGATTTCATACGAAGCAACAAGTGCACCTGTAACGTCGATCTGTATTTACTGATGAAATGCATTCCTGTGCAGATAACGATTACTATTTACCACCGTAATTCACAATAGAATCATTCTAAACAACTCTTCGTTTAATCATTCTGAATGTTTATTGTACGATATGAATTGTACAGTAATAACTAACAATTAGGGAAAATAATATCCACTTTGACCTGCAATAAAATGCACGAATTAAAGCATCAATGTCAAGTCGTTGCATAGTAATAATTCACAATCCAAACCATCAAATATATTGATAATCTAGTAAAGTTTACATACATTTCTTTCTTACGTCTTTAATAATTCCTAATATATTTAGACAAAGGAGACGTAATTGAACGATATTGTTGCGTATACGATATTTCAAACGCATTTAGAAAAGTTTGCTTTTGCATCTGAATATCGAAACATATGATAAATGCAGCATTTATAGTTCACGAAATACATTTATTAGGTTTGTTGATTGGTTCTTTAAAAGTATAAAGTGTAATTATAAAGCTGTGATTTAAAACAAAAATAATACATTTCTGTAAATATTGTGAATAGTGTGTGAATGCAAAAACTACTTGTTTGCATCGCGACGACCCATGACGCTTATTTTTGTAGTTCTTCCCTTTTGTTCACGCAACACATTGACACTGATTGAGTTCTACTTACAAAAAAAAAACAATCTGATAACTACTTATATTTATGATGTTTATATCATTTAAACGCATTGGTTGGTTGGTTTAATTGTTTCAAACATTAAAATAACTAACATTGTTGTTTATACTGTAAATATAAATTTTAATATACGACATACATTTTACGGTCACCATCACGAATCAGTTTACCATATGTCTGTGTCTCAACTCCCTAGCGCCATATGTTAGCATTAAAGATGTTAAGATACCAGAAAAGTCGTCTCATCTGTAATTTGACCGATTGTTCTTATTCTCGATTGTAACATTTACATTAGGAATTGGCTCGCATGTCGGGTGTTGCATGCAACATGTGCAAATAAAGGGGTTTGTTAAACATCATTTGATACGAGTTGTGTGTTGTTGCTAATTTGTGGTTTTCTATACAATTGTCCAACTTAAATATTCCTTAAAGATTTTATACAGAAACAATCCTTTACTTCATTTATAAGATTGCAATATTAGTACCAGAACACGTCTTTAACGCATAGATCTATGAGGTAGAAATATATGATATGTCATCCTGACTCTCAATTTAAAAGAAAAATGTATTGGCAAGCAAAATAGAGAAAACAATTTTTCTGCAATTGTTAAAAAAAAAATCGTTTTTCGTGGTAAAAATGTCATTAAACCAGACAGAAATAAATATACCCTCCTAGAGACTTGTATTTTTCATATACCGAAACAAATGTTTTATTTCATGCTTCATGCATGTACAGTAAGATATTGATTTGACTGGACATCGATTACTAATTGTTATTTCTAGAGTTTTATTTAATATTTAGACGTTGGGCGATGTTATACCTAAACAAATGAAAAACGAATATGTCACTTTAATGTAATCAGAGAAACGATATGCAATTTCACGCACATTTTTGCAAAATATAATAATGTTTGACGGTAGATAAGTCAGACACGGTCGGTCTTTCATTTATACAATCATGACACCCACCCTCGGTGTGTTAAACGACAAGAAAAACCTTAAAGTATGCATTATCTATAACTTAATTTCTGATGTTTCTAAATTTGCTTTAATGTGGTTTGTTGTTTTTTCTCTCGTTTAATCGAGATAATCTTTAATGATTACACAGACAAACATGTGACTCCCATATATTATATTGCGATAGTTGGAAACATGATTTCTGTTTCATGAATACACAGCTTGAACAAAATGTATTTTTATATTACATTGAAATGCATTTATCATACTACCCAATTAACGTGTAAATTTGGTAAAATCAATGAAGAGTAAAATTTAAGACATTGACCCGGAAAGAAAGTGTTATACAGTGTGTGAAGTTATGCTTTGAAAATTTTCGCTCAACATGTACATGTATATACTCGTTCATAACAAAGCCAATATGAACATCGTGATTATTGCAGATTTAACCTATCACTAAATAAGTGGAATTTGGAATAATTTATTAACATGAATTCACTGATTCACTGGATAAAATCACCTTATTTTTTTTTCAATCTAGACATTTATAGCTGACGGTTGTAGGCGTGTGGCTATGTAAAACATATCATTTCAAGTTTTAAAAAGTTTCAATAAAGTGAGAGGACCTTTGTTGTTGTTCTACTTCAATGATTATTACGGAGTTTAATGGTCTTCATAAAAACAGCAGTAAGTATTAGTTATGGAATCTTCTTGTCTAAGAGCTTTAATAAGATATACGATACACCAAAACATAAAATTTGAATTAGAGATCTCAAAATATTTGATATAATTTTAGAAAAATTAAGGGTGCCTGTAATATGTCTAAGTAATATTTTATTTCAATTGAATAAAAGCTCTGGAATTGAAACTGTACATTTAAAGATCACAAAAAAAAAATATAAACATTCACTTTCATTTGCTGATTAGTTTAATCATATATGTTTTTTATCATTACATATAGATCATCAGGGTTTCCGCTACATTTAGCTTTCGCAACTATCGCATTTTGCATAAACAAAATTAAGAATGTGGCGAAAAAAATCATTATTAGCGGAAATTTTTTTCGAAAGAACTAAAACTGTTCGCCGTCGTTGATCTGGTGTACTTTTCTGTTTTTTCAATTTGAAAGCTATCGGGAATAAACAAATTAACGAAAGGTGTAAATTGTATGGTTTAAAATCATTATATGGTCAAATGGCTTCACGTCTCACAAGATAAACTCATCATAGATACCAGGATAAAATATTGTATGCCAGACTCGCGTTTTGTCTACAAAAGGCTCATTTGTGATGCTCCAATAAAAAAAATAAATAAAAAAAACCAAAAGTACAAAGTTGAAGAGGTTTGAGGACCATATATTCCGAAAGGTTTTGCCAAATACAGCTGGGGTAGTCTATTCCTAGGGTAAAAATCTTTAGTTTTTCGAAAAAATGTTGTAAACAGTAATTTATGATTATGACCATATAAATGATAATACATGTCAACACAGAACTTCTGACTACTCAGCCGGTGATGCAATCGGCGGAGGACACCTCCACCAGTGAACGAGTTGCAAATATACATGTAATTGTTTAGAAATTGATACTTTCCGATCGTTAAAGCGTCCCTGTCTTTAACATAGATTTTTGTTTTAACTTTATGTTGAACGATAAAAATAGAAGAAATCTATAAACACCTTCAAAGTAAAAGGAAAAAGCATTTGGTTCCATTCAACTAGATAGGAATATCTGATTAACTGATTGAAGAAAAATCCCGATCTGTTGATATTTTGGAAACACATATAAAAAATGACATTCCGATATACAGATAAAGGATGCAGTAATAAAATTTGGTCGCCTTTGTTATGTAATTTTACGATATCCATAAATGTAAATAAATATAATTACTAATTATTGTAATTTAGTAAATTTTTTTTAATTGTTGATTTTGTCATAGAAATGTTGGATTACTGTACACTGGGACCTAATATTATAAGTTATATGTGAACCTAGATAACGTATTATGCTGTAAATTGAAATCCATTTGGTTTTCAAAAAAGTAAAATAAGTTGGTAAAAATTTGCTTTGGCGAAAGGGGTAGCGAAAAAATATTTACCAAGAGAAAAACCTGATATCATCATATACATGATATATACAAATACGCTAAATCAGAAGACGTCTTTACTTCGATCATAATGACAATTACACTGTCAATTGATCTTTTTACAACTGTTTCACAAAACTCGCCTTTTTTAGGGAGATACTTTCTATTCGTATATATTTTGTTTCGTTTACCTTCTGATTCCCAGATATAGTCCCCATGTTTCAAACCACAGAGACACAGGGTTTGAATTTTACCAGTCAAAATACAGCTGGATAGCAGCTAATTTGAATTCTCAGGAAGAATCAACGTAAAGGCAGGGGAAATACAGAATTTAAGTATAAGTTTAAACAATTAGAAGTTCGAGGCATATACATGTTGAAAATATACCACACAGCCCTGTGTTTTGTTCTTTGCAAACAATTATAGTGCATGTGATCTTTTCATTTCAGGATAATATTTTTAAAGAAACTTCATAATAAAATTGACACAGTTTTTGCCGTAAAATAGTTCAATTGGAAATTGAATTGTCTATATTTACAGAAGTACAATTGACATTGACTGTGGCATCTAATCTTAGAATACATGTAATTAAAAAAAGGGAATGCATATATTAGTATCCCCGATAATATAATATACGCAACCAGTCAAACCCAAATAAAAATTTATTAAAAAAAAACAGGGTTGGCGTCAAAGAGGGACGAAAGATACCAGAGGGACAGTCAAACTCATAGATCGAAAACAAACTGACAACGCCATGGCCAAAACAAAAAAGACAAACAGATAAATAATAGTACAGATGACACAACATAGAAAACCAAAGACTAAGCAACACGAACCCCACCAAAAACTGGGGGTAATCAATCACCTGATCGCGAGGGCCTGATTTCCTGATACGCTCAGACTCTTCACGAATCCTGGATTTTGATTGGTACCCAGTAGAAGAGGCATCCAATCAGCAGTCAGTTCGATTTTGTCGAGATAGGTAAATCCTGAGCTAATTCCGAATGATTGATAGCCGATTTTTCACTCATTGTCTATTCATTCAGGAATTAATGGTGTGCTCGTAGATCAGCGCAATATAACAACGTAATTATTCGGGTTAGGCTTTGACTTGTTCTACTGATTACATCGGCGTTAATGTCCATACGAAATTTAAATATTTTGTTGCTTTTCCTCGATAAAAAAAAGCCGACAAATTTGATATAAGATTAATTGTGTAGATGATTTGCCAACATCAAATGATTTCACAGTTGGTGATGATAACTGTTATCATGTAATCGTGATGAATTCACCTGTATCTGTTTTATTAATTACGATTTCGTATTAGTGCTCTGCATATATTATATATCCCTTCTGCTAGAATTTTGTTTAAAGTATTACATTATAGAATTGCTGTTTTGGAAGAAAATTTTTCAGCATGGAGATGATTTATAATTGGACAGATGAAAATGTTACGTATAACGCGACCAAGGAAGACGTACCGACATATACTGAATTGGTAAGATCCTGATTTACTTTAACTTATTAGTCTATTTATTATCGTATTAAAAAAATAATTTTATTGTTGGGTTTTTTTTGTTATTTGCTTTGACTTTTATTTGGTTGTATATATCGATCGATCGTTTTTATTTTTCGAACAGCTTTCTCACGAAAAATCTGAATATATATCAGTGCTTAATATCAAAATCAATATTGATTAATAAAAATGAAAATAACACTTTATGTAAATGTCAGAAGTGTCGTTTTGGATTAACCTATATCAGTAGGAACGCTCAATGCAAAATATTTGATTATTTGTATAGGTACCGAAACACGTAATAAACTTAATGACAAAAATTGCCTTAAACAAAAGCAAAATCCATCTAAAGTCAAATTTGGCTTTAGGAGTCGGAATCCCTAACATACACACACACTGATAAAAAGGATAAAGCTGTATAAATGAGAGAACAATCCAGCTGTGGTACAAATAACAAATATTCACGACAAGTACGACAGGGATTTATCAAAGATCTGCAAAATGTGCAACATGAATAAAGAAATAAAATGATGATAACTGTTATCCTGTGTATGCCGTATCCCAAGACTCTTTAGTCCTACGCCTCATAGGAGTAAGAATGTAAATCCATAAATTTGATTTTACGCATGATTTGAGCCCTGTTTGCCTTCTTTCAAACATGTTTATTCCTCTTTTTGCTTCACTGTTATTAAGTAAAATGAATATTCATATATATATATATATATATATCAACTTATACAGGTTTTGAAATGGACATCATTACTCATTCTTCTTGGAATTATATGTTCTAACATTGTGGTGATTGTGTTATTATACATTGGAAACAGAAAATCAAGGATGGGATTTTTTGTCGCTAATTTAGCGATAGCAGGTACATATTTTATAATTACTTTGTGCAAACCAATCACCTGTCGATACTATATGCCCTTTTATTGATTTTGATTTTTGGTGTTTTAACGCCACTTTAAAGCACCACTTTTGGGCTATTTCGTGGCGGCCAGTTTTTATTGGTGGAGGAAGCCGGAGTGCCCGGAGAAAACCACCGACCTTTGATAGGGAAACTGACAATCCTAGTCAATTAAGATTGGAGTCGAGTGCACCCGCACGAGCGGGATTCGAACTCACAACCTCAGTGTTGACTGGCTAGTGATTACAGTAGTAACTACTTAGACCACTCGGCCACCGAGGCCCCTCGCCCTTTTATGAAGTTTTGAACAAGCACGGAAACTCAAATTTAGCATTTCCAATTTCTTTGAATATAAATAGTAGCAATATTGAAATGTGTCAAACTATTTTTCGTCGAAGATTTATCAATATTTCAGTATAAATATTCAAAAATTTGTTTTCTTGAGACTGAATTGCCGTTTTAGTCTGAATCAAAATATATTTAGGCGAACTTCATTCAAAATTGTTAAAAGCATTTTAAATTCACAAACTAAAAACTATTTTTGCAGAAGATATTTTTTTTTCAGATTTTGCTGTAGGACTCATGTTTGTGTTACCAGAGACTATGTTTAATCGCTTTAATGTTCCATGGAATCCACATGTGTGTTATATCATTTATGCGTATTTTTCAATTGTGCCATTTTTTGTCTCAACATATGCAATTGTGGTTATATCAATTGACCGCGCATATGTTATTCTTAAGCCATTGGCAGCTGCTTCTAAAGGAAAACTATACCGATATGGACTGGCGCTGTCGTCATGGGCAATTGGCTGCATTCTAGCGATACCTTATGGGGTCAGAGGTAGATTTATTGAAGATAAATCATATTGCAACCATGAGTTTATTAGTTTAGTAAGTGAAATTTTCATTGTCTCAAACTTTATCTGTATAAATTTTCTGTTCACTACACTTTGAATTTTTCATGTTGTTAGAGATACAAAGGATTTTCTAACCAAGGAAAAGATACCGTATCTGTATTTCAAAATTTAGGGGCCCCAATACCCTTTTAAATATGAGCGTCACTGGTGATTCTTTTGCAGACAAAACGTCTGTCTGGCGTGCAAAACTATCAACTTGGTATCTCTTGTGATTTTTGTATACGCCAGCCAGAATAAATGAAAATAACAACATAACTATTTCGTCCGTATGAAATTATATATTCTTAGATCTACCTTCATCAGAAACGCTCAACCCAAACATTTTGAAAACACATACACACGTTGAGAGCTCCATGTGTATGACGAACAAGGACTAAATTTCTTAATTCATCAATGAGAAGTCCATTCAGATGCTACATGCGGAGCAGGATCTGCATTTCCTTCCGGAGCACCTGAGATCACCCCCAGTTTTTGGTGGGGTTTGTGTTGCTTAGTCTTTAGTTTTCTATGTTGTGTCATCTGTACTATTATTTGTCTATTTGTCTTTTTATTTTTGGCCATGGCGTTGTCAGTTTGTTTTCGATCTATGAGTTTGACTGTCCCTCTGGTATCTTTCGTCCCTCTTCTTTAACAAATGTATTAATAGTTATCATCAACTTATCTCCTAAGGTTAATGACCGTACTGTTAAAAACTGTAAACCCTCATTTTTGGAAAAGATAGAACCACATATTATTTTGAATTAACATAAAAACTCAGTACAAGTTTATTGTTTAGGTAAACGTTAGTTACATCGGACATCGTGTATCTTCGAATTTCTATATGATTCCTATGGCCATCGTATTACGAGCAACCCAAATATCGCTCAAGACTGAGAGGTTAAGAACTTTCTGAAAATAGACCAACATATCATCCTCAACAAGAATAGATATAAACCTGTGGCATGAGGTTTTTCAAGGCGCTCTTTCATATTTTTTGTAAAAAAACAATGATGTAAACTGAAAAAAAATTGCTAAAGATATTTTTTATTTCGATCCAGAAAAATTTATGAATTTTGTGTATATTTAAGTATAAACGAGAAAAGTAAATATGTTTTTGTTTTGTTTTATCTTTAGTTTTCTTTGTTTTGTTTTGTGTACTATTGTTTCATGTGTTTGTCTGTTTGTCTTTTTTTTAGCCATGTCGTTGTCAGTTTATTTTCGAATTATGAGTTTGAATGTCCTTTTTGTATCTTTCGCTTCTTTTTCTCATTTTATGTTTAACTTAAATACGCTAAGCTTATGATGTTGCTAAAACAGATTATCTTAATACTGCTCAATGTCAAAATCTTTTAAATGATCGTACACAGGAAGTCCTTAAAAGTTATATTACTTATTCAAGCTTCCATAACTATGTTTGATATTCTTATATTTTTTATTTCCACTATAGGGGTTTGTATATTTAGACTTGTGCACCATAATCATTGTACCAGTTATAGTAATAAGTATTTGTTACATACTTATGATTGTCACAATACGGAGGAGAGAGAGATTTGGAATAATCAGAGGAAAACACAACCAATCAGGTACAAAACAGTAGTTCTATTTTCTTCTTTGAAAATTGTCGCAACATTTAATCATAACATACTTATATCTCGTTGAATGTGGGTTCATTGTTATTCGTTGTATACTTTCTTTATGGATTTTGTGAATATTGACTACCCACGAATAGCAATGCTCCACGAAGTACACATTTTCTATCGGCTAGTCTGAAAACAGTGGCAAAAACAAAATATTAAATCTCCACGAATACTCGTTTTGCCTTAATCTTTGAAAATTGATATTAACAAAAATATATGAATCTATAGTAAATTTCTTTTTAGATTTTTGATTAGCTCGGCACAACAAATATGTGGAGAGACCAACTTGACGTGTTCGCAAATTGGAATTGTTATCTGGTTTAAACATAAATAAAGACATTAAGTAATAAACACGAAAAATGCTAAATCTCGCCTTGAAAATTGACACGGTTTGTGAAAAAAATATCTCTCCGAATTGTACAAAATATTCAGGGATTTTGTTTTATTTTGATCTAATTCAGCAATATTTGCAGTTGAAATTGTTTGGTTGATTTAAGTCGGCATTGCATAAACGTTCTACATATATTGAAGCCCTTTCCAGTTTAATGTTGTATGAAACAACAGATATATACCTTGAATGCATCTTATTTCATGTCTGAATCCTAAACTCTATTTAACGTTTTAAGGCATAAAATGTCAAAATCATTTCTTATAAATTTGGCAAATCGGACAATGACTTAAAATTATTTCGGTTGAAATGTGTTAGAGCTTAGCATCTTTCATAAAAAAAAATTAAAATATATACTTGCAAAAAGATTAACATCCCCGGAACGCACTGGCAGTTAATGTCCTAATCGGACTGCGGAGAAACCAAACTTTGAAATATGCTACTGATATTTTATCTTAATTCGTCGGATTTTAAGATATTTTTTAAGCCTTTTTCATTGTACTATTGTCAATTATATAAGCAACTCTTTAATGAAATTAAAAACGAAAAAGAATGGTCAGCATAATTACAGTGACTATGTCAAGGTTTCGTGTAGTTAGGTAAATGGTTATTCATTCAATGTTTTGAAATAGAAGTAGCATGTCTAAATATGTTCATGCTCTTGCACTTTGAAAGAAATTTCAAATTTATTATTTCAATTTTTAATCATCAATATGTCTATTTGTATTTGCTTAGATGTCGATGTGGATGTTAACACAAGTGTTAATATTGCGGTTATTTCAAAGGCTAAGATTAGAACCATCAAGTTACTGTTTGTAATTGTAGTAGGTAAGAAATATTTGTACTCAATTTGTATTGTAAATACTTATATTGTTTCTACCCCTAGGCATTATACCTCAACTGTATTTAACTACTACTTTTTGAAATGCTTGGTTTTCAGTGCTTTTCAATTTCATTTTTGATTTGGCATTTTAACTTTTAACCTGGTTGCACTAATGAGTCTACTATGTGGTCAAACCCTTGTCTAAAAGAGGCGAAAGATACCAAAGGGACATTGAAACTCAAAAGTCGAAAATAAAAAGACAAGCAGACAAACAACAGTACACAAAACACAACTTAGAAAACTAAAGACTGAGCAACACGAACCCCACCAAAAACCAGGGGTGATCTCATGTGCTCTGGTAGGTAAAAAGATCTTGCTCAAGATGTGGCACCCGTCGTGTTGCTCGTATTAGTACAAACTCGCCGATAAGTCTAAATCGGTAGGTCACGTTTGGGGAAAAGAGGACGGGCGCACAAAATTATAACATCACTTGGAGTTGGCTTAATCTGTCTATCAGATTGATAAGCAAATAACCTTGCATAAACTGTCATTTCAATTCATTGCATTAAAAAGGACCAAATCGGTTTTCTTATATTTCTTCGAGGTTGCCGTTTTAACACATAACTCTAAAAATTGGATGTAAGTAAGAGCTTAATAGTGATTGGGTCTTATATAATCTAGTCTTATATAATTTAGGAAATTGAGTCCACATCCGATCGATTGAATATACCCCATCACAATTTCTTTGAACATCATCTTTTACTGTGAAATGACAAAATGAAAGAAAGACTATAGATCAAGTAGAATCCATAACGCCCTGGCTATACATTGTTTAATTATAAACTTTTTGTTAAGTTAATGTATCCAGTATAACATGTATAAAGGAGGGAAATTCCAAAAATATTAATCAATCCATTGTAACGAATAGTGAATGTATGTTTTTCCGATTACTATAAAGATTGATAAAATGTTCTTTATTTTCCTTGCTAAATCTATCTTTTAGAATTGTATACAAATGATCTAGCTTAACTTCAATTTGTTGCATTTATAAGGACAAGGTCGATGATCTTAAATTTCTTAGTTATTGCTGTTAAAACACATTCATCTGAATGGTGGTATCAAATAAGAAATTAATACTGACTGTTCTAGATAGTGGAGCATCATTTCTGTATCACTGTGAATAATACCCAAATTTTGAATTAGTTTGTGTTAAACAAATGTAATATTACGTTTTATGCATTGTTTTGTTAGTTTTGTATTGTCTTTCCGTCCTTTTTCCTTGATCCCGACTTTTTTTAACTCATTCTTTTCATTGAATTCAGATGGTTATTCTGTTATTTCTGCAAGAAAATTACCTTGACAATGTACAATTTATCTATGAAATTAGGAAAACAGCTGTTTTATCCTACATCAATTCAAAATAGATATAGGAAGATGTGGTATGAGTGCAATGAGACAACTCTCCATCCAAGTAACAATTTATAAAAGTAAACCATTATAGGTCAAGGTACGGCCTTCAACACGGAGCATTGGCTCACACCGAACAGCAAGCTATAAGGGGCCCCAAAAATTACTAATGTAAAACCATTCAAACGGGAAAACCAACGGTCTAATCTATATAAAAACGAGAAACACGTATGAACTACATAAACAGACGACAACTTCTGTACATCAGATTCCTGACTCAGGACAGGTGCAAACATTTGCAGCGGGATTAAACGTTTTAATGGTACCAAACCTTCTCCCTTTTCTGAAACAATAGTATAACATAAAAACATAGAAAGACACTATAAAATATCAATTGGAAGGCTTAACTCAATCAAAAAACGTAAATTAAAACACAATGAACGAATAAATATGATCTGTGATACCTGAATGCAAATACATAGTTAATAAAAATTATAAGGGAATAAATAATTAAGGTCAAAAGTAAATAAACAGGTTCAAACAAAGTTAAAGTATGATACCACTGTGAAATGTTAAACAATATTTAGAAAATAATCACTTTTGAAAAAACCTGCATCATATTATACACAGGTAAATGAAAATAATTTTGTTGTTAAGTATACTTCTTCTTCTGTGTGTATAAAATCTTCTGTTTAGGAATACCAAGAAATTTCTTTAATATCAATAAAACTAAAACACCGTTTATTATTAGTAACATAGTAGGCTATTGACATTAAACAATGTATATAAGGGGTCAGTGAATTCCACATGGAGCTAGAGGTATAGAAGCGTGAGCCCCATATGGAATTTAATGACCCCATACATATCGTATAAGGTCACTATCACATGAATGAATCTTACCGATTACCTTGATATGAAGAATTTAGATGTTGTTGTAAAGTTTCAATTTTTACCCACCATTAAACAGAACTTTATTTACGGTGAAAAAGTCATCGTATCTATGATAAGATTTGTATATAAAGTATGAAAGAAATATAAATATGTATGTTTACAATGAAATGAATACGTGTCAATTTGAGATTTACTTTTTTAAAAAGAACGTAACTCTACTTCGCACCGTGCAAGTAAAACAAAATCCACCCACTGACCCTGTAATATACATACACGGTAATCACGTTTTCACTTTGAATCAATGATATTCCTAGAAGTTATAGAAGGTAAGATAATGTATAATATCATTGGCCTTGCCAATGCAGATTCAAAAGCAATGTATATTGGGAACTATGATCTCTGTATTTTAATGTAGGGAAAAGTATTCATCCCATGTTTAAATCCTATCAATCGATTTAGAAAATACAAATCAAAGTAATAAACAACAATAAAATGAACTCTAAAAGGAGCAAGTCGGGAAGCATCGAAGGGGTAAGTATATCCTGCAAAGAATGCATCATCTGCCATGCAAATCCACACTTAGTCGAAATTTTATAATCATGAATGGTATGCAATCAAAACCTTTACAGATAAGACAACTTTTCAGATAAGTAAAGACAACTAAAGACGCTAGTGAATTAAGCACAGATAGCTTTCAATCGGTATGCTGACATTGAGACTTATGTATTGTCAATTTTTAGTAGGATGTTCTCCTTTCTCTAACATATTTGTGTGTAAGCAACACACTGGTGTTAATGCAGTCCGTATGGTGTGATATATATTCAAACCCCATACGAAATGCAAGTGCGTTTGTTTCTTGTGCGAAATAGTGAAGTTGACAATTAGATATTAAAATCTTCACTTTTGTTATTCATTCAGTGTCACAATGTCAGCATTGAAGAAAAGATCAAGACATCAAGCAAAACATACCTTTTTTTTTGCGTTGTGCGTTTCGATTTAAACCATTTTTCTATGACTTCAAACCTGTCATTGTCTAATATAGCGACACATTTTTTTCTTTCCTGTACAAATAATGTGCCATGTTTTGTTTTTTGTTTTTTTTTTTTTTTATTTCCTTGTTCAAGATAGTGGTTATCCTGTTGGAAGATGCAACTTTATGTTTTAAAGTTGTGTGTTTTAATTTTACGATGAACAATTACTACACAGATATGTGAAGTTTGGCAAAATTGATTAGCACATGCTAGACTTATTCAATCGAAAACATTTTGTTGTACCAATTCAATCTATCTGTAGCGTGTTTTATTAATTCTAGTTTGCCTACGTTTAATTTTTAATGTTATTTGTAGGAGTGGTCGGATCAAGTGGTTGATGAGGTCTGTTGTACTGTCCACTATTTTTGATGATTCTCGTGTTATCTTTTCAATGAATAATTATTGAAAAGGACACGTTACAATTGTACAGTATTTCTGTTATGCTTGAGATTTATTAATTTTTGAACAAGAAATGTACCCGTGATCATATTGGTTATATCAAAAAGAAATAATAATGATATTTTGAGGGATTGTTGATGGCTTAATGTACAGTGATTACTATTGCATGCATGTTCAGAACAATAATAATGCCGTACCAGAGTTGTTAATACATTTTTAAATTAGTAATGTAGAAATATGAAGATATATGTTAATTCTAATTATCTAACTTGTAACAAAATATTTGGGTAATTTTTAAGCTTGATTATTTAACATTGTATTATTTTTGTTTTTATTTTCAGTATATATAATTTGTTGGGCCCCAATAATGATTGATTCGTTATTACTCTCTCATGGGTACGTTGAAAGCGGAACGTGGAGTATAATTCTTTATGTCCTTGCTCCAATAAATAGCCTTGCAAATCCGTTGGTGTTTCTGATTTTTAATCGAAAGATGTTTCGAAGGAAGATAACAGTGAGGGCAAATAATAATTAATGTCAAGTCTACTTGGAAAAAAGATGCAGACATGGTAACAAGTTACAAGAAAATTGTTAAGGAAGAGCATAAGAAGAAACACGATTTGACGAGCCAAAAAAGTAATGAGCTGTATCTTAACCATCTTCATGTTGTTGGCTGTAGTTTGTGTTTATTTTTCTAATGCGGCATATTCGGATTAATAACATTTCTGCTTGTTGAACTTGATGTGAATATTGTCCATGCGATACCAATTTTTGGACAAAGTAAACAATTTGAGCGATATATTGAAAAGTAAGAAAAAATGATTTAATAATATAAGAGTAAGGAGATTTGATGTTGATGAATACGGACAAAAAAAAATGCAGATCCAATAAAAAGTGCTAACAATTACATAACATCCTATGACCATCATCTTAAAGAAACCTTATTCCGTAGAGTTCGCTAAAAAAGGCTAAAGGAGTACAAAACTAGTCATAAGTAAGAGAGAAAAAAGGAGTGCATCATTTTTCCAACAGTGTGCATAAAATAATTACTAAACAAATACATCAAATAAAAGTACCGATTAAGGTAAAAATCAAAGAAATTATTATCAAAATACATTGATCGTCATAGAAAATCCGCTTTTTAAATGTATCAATTAAATTAATATTGTCTACATATACCTTACATTATGCAGTGTCACCAAATTAACGCGTCATACATGTAGTTTACCTATGTTGAAATGTCGTAATTGATTAGGAAGAGACAAATCAGTATCACAAACAAACAAAAAAAAAAATGAATTGCACGGACTCAAAACAAGGATAGACCGGGTGTTCAACATGGAAAACTTTCCCCGATTTGCATTAATCAACCGCCATGCGAATTAAAACTCAGTCAAAATGTCATAAAAATATTAAAAAAAAGTACCGAACTCCAAGTCAAATTCAAAAAGGGGAAGTCCAAACAAACTGACAAAAGCAAACGCTATCAACGGAATAATTGAAAAACAAAACTGCTATATTCCTGACTTGGTAGATGCATTTTCTTAAAGAAAATGTTTCGTTAAACTTGGTTTTATATCTAGCTTAACCTTCAACTTGTATGACAGTTGTTTATAGTTCCGTTATATCAACCCAAACAGACAAAATAGGTTAATGTGACAATAATTGGGATCCAGCAGCCAAAACTGTGAAAGCATACAACACTTCTGAATAAACAATTCAAACAAACATACAAATAAATCTAACAAAGACGCCAACATAAAAGGTGCAGTAGATGTCAAATTTGACAATGACGTTACCACAAAAATGTTTATGATATATACATTTTCTTGTAAAAAAAATAGGGATCACCATGACGTGTGGCGGTGCAACACGCTTAAATTTCTAGCGCCACGCTCATCTTATAGTCCTCCACACTTGCAAATTCAATAGATTTAAGTTCAATTCCGGATATCCCTTATCTAATTATCATGTCAGTGGCAGTTAGGAAATCTAATTAGTGTTTAATGGTGTTAACACTGCCTCAGGGGATGTACATTGACAGCTGATTGCATTATTTACATTGTCTCGCGTGGTTGAACAAGGTATCATCCAATGAACGATCATGACCCAGTTTCGACAAGTTGAAAAGTGAAAATTGTTTGCAAACTATTCTTTAAATACAAATGCTTGACTATACCTTAAATGCCCAAATGGTATGCATATATAAAATTAATTTGATAAAAGCAGTATAATCCAGAAATCGAATGAATTCTCTGACCACATGTTTTCCTTTTGTTTACAACCATGTCACACGTGTACTTTTGGAAAATACTGGGAATCACCTAAATACCAGACAACACTGTCTAGTTATTTATAGACATTTAAGTAAACAGCTGTGCTGAGCTGTGCTATTAAGGAAAATAGTTAAACTGGTTATATATAATTCCTTAATCAGTAATCTCTATTATTTTATCGGAAATCAAAATTTGTCATGAAAGGAAGTTCTTCAAAATAATAAAATTGTATAATGAATACTTTATCACATGAAAAGCAATATGTGGATCTCTCGTTTATTCCTGAAATCTGGGAAGCCATATAAGGGTTTTTAACTTCTTAAATTGTGGTGACCAAAAAATGTATGTGAGACCCCCTTTCCATATTAGCTATATATGACAACAACTTGTAATACAGAAAGTAAACAAATAAGGAACGATTCGACAACGCAACACACCATCTCTGATTTGATGAACTTTCTCCCCCAACCTTGATTTTCATTCTGTGGTTAAACTGTACCAGCAATCAATATTACAAAACAAACGACTTTACTGGTCGTTAATGATTTTAATATTATATTGTGGTTGTCATAAATGAATGATTGCTACAGATTAACTTTATAAGCATTTTGCGTGTTCAAAATGATTTATTCAATGGATTATATTAATTTGAACTAACAAAAATCATGAAGTAAAATTCATCAATTACAATGTACGTTGATTGAAACCTCGTGTATGGATGATGAGATTGAAAATGCACACAGGAACATATGGGAAAAACAAACATTACTTTGCGAAAGTAAAAAAATCCAGAAAAGGACAAATCTTGTATTTGATATGAGATTACATTGACTGTCTTTGTGCCTACATTGTTCGTGTCTAGCCTTTCACAACAGAAAACAAGCTCCAACTCAATCACTGTGAAAGAAATCATATATTGATAGAAAAAATATCTCGCACTTTACATTAGAAATAAAAAAAAAATTATAAGTAATTTTAACACATATTTTAACATTACTGACTAGTACATACAAATATTACTTGCATTCGCCGTGTATGCAATTTACTTTCTTATATGACTTGTGCAGCAACACACTCGTTAAAATAACCAACAAAATTAAACCATTGATAAAAGCACCTTTTTGTGTTTTTGAATGTTTGTAAAAGAAAAGAAAAAAAAACTACGGACAAATAAATTTATAAAGTTTTTTTTTTAATTTATAATGAACAAAATACCACATTGTAATAAGGAGTTGAATGATGTTTTTTAGAATGTATAGCAAATGACAGCAATTGGTCTTCACATTTTGCTAAAATGTTGCATAGATATGATTGCAATTAGCATTAGGTGTCAATCATTTAAAACATTTAACGATTCATTACATTCTATTTTTACATTGGTTGCAATGAAATACCGTGATTTTCCAGTTAAATAAAAACCGATAATTTGACATGTGAAATAAATCCTATAATTTTAATCCTTTGACGTCATGCAAAAATGGGTATTGCCAAGACATAGTCGGTGACGTTGCATCAAAAACAAATTGAGAACGCATACATAAAAACAATTCTACTTTTTTTCAATTAACATAAACTCATCATAGAAACCAGGATTGAAATTCTATATTTACGCCGGACGCGCGTTTCGTCTACAAAAGACTCATCAGTGACGCTCGAATCAAAAAATATATAAGTCCGTGGTAATGTAATTATAAGAATAAATAATCAAAAAATTGAAAAATCAAAAAATCTTCAACTCGTGACTGAACAACACTGATATTTTGCGTAATTCAGTCGTTGAATATTTTTTTCGTATTTGAATTCTTTGATTATTTATTCTATAATTAATCATCAGATCATATCCCTAACACATTCTTGTTTTGTTTATAAATTCTAACACATCTACAATTTGATGCATCAAACGCAATATTTCAGTATAGTTAAAGACAACTTAGGATGATATATGTGATATATAATAGAAAATAAATATCATTCACATAAAACCTATATCGTTTATGCATGCTATACGTTTTATATTGATTGAATGCATCGCTTTAGTTATTTTCAAAGAAGACACAGGTTAATTTATACTTATGAAATTAAGAGATGTTGTATGATTTCCGATTAGACAGCTACCCATCAGAGACCAAATGACGTGTGGTTTACTTCCTATAAATTATTTATTTTGGCATAGAATTAAAACTTTTTGGAGGTAAAGCGTACTTTTCAGTAAAGTTGTTAATGTAGTCAATAGTAAATACTTATATTCGATACAATTATTATTATTATTATTTTTCAGTTACAATAATTCAATAAATCGCTCGTTTATCCTTATCAAAAAAAATCTGCGCATAAATTCCCAGTCTGTCTCATAATTATTTGTTTAAAGAAAATAACTAGACAGCTTGTGTACTGCTATTATATTTTCAAAGATGGCGATATACAGTTGATTTACCTTAAGGTTGCCAATACCGAAACAATAGACAAAATACCCTCGTTCACTACAGCGTTACCAATCCGTAGGTACTGAAAAGGGTAATAATATGATATGATATTAAAGGTAAATATTGTATGTGTAAGGGTAGATTTCCTAAACAAGTTTTGTCATGCATATTTCATTCGAACCCATAATGTCAACATTTGGTGATCAGTGTCATTTTGGTTTTTTTTTCAATCTATGAGAAAACCATTTGTGCAGTGATTTTGCTTGAAGGTTTTATTAACAACTCATACCAGTTCGAAATTACTTTGACGTCTGACACGCTAGCCATAACCAATCCTACATAAAGACTGTCAGAGCAATCTCATACTTAGTTCATTCGAAACATGTATATTCAAACTTAACAAAACTTCTTAAAGGTAAAAGAGTGCTTTGAAAACTGAAACTGTTTCATCAGATCAATTTAGGGTTGACACAGAGGCATATTCCAAATGTTACGAATGTAATACATTTATGTTACTATTTGTGTAAATACATTCAACTATTTCACGATTTAACGTTTGGTAACTCTGCCACATAAATTACATATTATTGTTAATGTTGTAACGACATTACTTATTATGCATTTTGTCTCATTTCGATTTCCTCCTATTGCACGATGATTTACATAAATACGGACATCAACGACATTGATGATGACGATAATGTAATAATTATAGAAACAGCATGTAATGTAGTAACAACATTAACGGTACCAATTTTACTGCACTCACATAAAACGACGTTTTTGAGGTAGTGTTGTTTATTTTAGATAATATTGTAGTTATCAAATATTTAATGATCCAAGCAATTCAAAACGCGGTTCACACCTTAGTTACGACATGTCGACTATGGATTTGATGGTAACTTTTAGCCAATGAAAAAAATTGTTACATAAAAACTGCATTTGAATTGTATTTAGTTAATGATAACATCATGAGGGACTAAATGTCTAACAAAACAGAAAACAGAAAAAATAAGGAAATATATGTTAGTTCATGCTTGCCTCAATTCAAACAGTTAGAGTCGTAGCACTTTAAAAGCAATATAACATGATTGTGCACTATCATTGTATCTAATATATTTATAGAAAAGTAGATTAAGATAAACTGAACTAGTATAGTGAGAAATATAACTAAAAAAATGTTTCAAAATTCAGGGCTTTTAAAAATTGAGTGTGCTGTTTACCAAAATTAAACATAAATCGTTTTTTACTTATTGCAATTATTTTCTTCAGTTTATTGATACCTTTTTTCGAGTAAGTTGGTGATACACTCGGGACCTTATAAGAAATCTTATTTGTACTCTAACAAAGCGTACACAAATATTAGAGAAACACTTTTT